TACTGGTGAGGCTGCTGCTCTAGGTGCCAGTGCGTCCGTGCCCTCAGGTGCTGGTGAGTCTGCGCTCTCAGGTACCACGTCGGCTTTGGCCTCCCTCACCTTCACACTTGACTCTGGTCTTCCTTGGTCCCTCCTTCCCCTTCCTCCGAGGCCTGGTCCTTCCTGTGTCCCCTGTGTCGAGGGGCGGCTCCGAGCTGCCCTTCACTCCTCTCAGTTTCCCCCGACAGAGGCCCCGCTGCAGACGCTTCACATGGACGTGTGGGGCCCGGCCCGCGTCCGTGGACAGGGTCACGAGCGCTACTTCCTGCTGGTGGTTGACGACTACTCGCGTTACACCACAGTCTTCCCCTTGCGCAGCAAGGGTGATGTCGCTGAGGTGTTGATCGACTGGATCCGCGCAGCTCGTCTCCAGCTCAGGAGGAGCTTCGGCTCGGACTTTCCTGTTCTGCGTCTGCACTCTGACCGAGGCGGAGAGTTCTCCTCTGGCCTTCTGCGAGCCTACTGTCGTGCGCGAGGCATCCGCCAGACCTTCACGCTTCCGGACTCTCCACAGCAAAATGGGATTGCTGAGCGCCGCATTGGCATGGTCATGGACGTCGCTCGTACGTCCATGATGCATGCGGCTGCCCCCCATTTTCTGTGGCCGTTTGCGGTTCGGTACGCGGCGCATCAGATCAACCTTCACCCCAGGGTCTCCAGGCGGGAGACCTCCCCAGCCTTGCTGTGGACGGGGAAGGTCGGCGATGCGTCTGCGTTCCGTGTCTGGGGATCTCGGGCGTTTGTCTGCGACTTGTCTGCAGACAAGCTGTCCCCTCGTGCTGCTCCCTGTGTCTTCCTTGGCTTCCCCCCTGACGCCCCTGGGTGGCAGTTCTACCACCCCACCTCTCGTCGTGTTCTGTCCTTCCAGGACGTCACGTTCGACGAGTCAGTACCCTACTACCGCCTCTTCCCCTACCGCACTCCTTCCCTCCCCCCGCCACCGCACTTCCTTGTGCCAGGTCCCCCCCCGGTAGACCCCCTCCCCCCTCAGGGTCCTGCCCCTTCAGGTGTGTCCCAGGTAGATGCAGTTGAGCCGGTCGAGGTTGCTGGTGACTCTGGTACTGCTGCGGGTGCTGAGCCTGGGGGTGCTGACTCTGGGGGTGCTGCGTGCGTGGGTGCTGAGCCTGGAGGTGCTGCGTCTGGGGATGCTGCGACTGGGGGTGCTGAGCCTGGGGGTGCTGAGCCTAGGGGTGCTACGACTTGGGGTGCTGAGCCTGGGGGTGCTACGACTGGGGGTGCTGAGCCTAGGGGTCCTTCGCCTGGGGGTGCTGCGTTTGGAGCTTCTGAGCCTAGGGGTGCTGAGTCTGGAGCTACCGAGCCTGGGGGTGCGGAGCCCGCGGCCGCTGGACCTGCTCGTGTGGCGTCTGGCGGTGCTGGCCCTGCTGGTTCTCCGGGTGCTTCGTCTCGGCGGGAGCCACTCTCTCCACAGGAGCTGCGCGAGTGGTTTGCCCGGCGCTGGAGGCGTACTACTGGAGCTGGTGCTTCTTCGGCTGCTGAGGGTGCTGGTGCCGCAGGTCTCGGAGATGCTAGTTCTGCGAGTGCTACTGGAGTCGGAGGTGCTGAGGGTGTTGGCGCGGAGGCTACTGCTGTCAGTCTTGGCGGCGGTCCTGCTGCGGGTGCTACTGGTGCTGCTGGAGGTACTGGAGCTGGAGGTGCTGTTGACGCTGGTATTGCCGCTGGGGGTGCTGGTGCTGTCCCTGCTGTGCCTGGAGTCGCCGCGCGGCCTCGGCAGTACTTTGTTCCGCTCCTTCAGCAGATTCTTGGTCTTCCTCCTCCCTTAGAGTGTCCACCGCCTTTCCAGTCGCAGTCACAGTTACCACCGGTCTCCCCACTGCCTTCTCCTTCTCCGTACACTGGTCCTAATGGAGGTCTTGCTGAGCGTCGTGAGCCTGCGTCTCGTCCTGAGTCGCCTGTTCGTGCTGCTCGCACTAGTGGTCGCAGCTCGCGTCAGCGTCCTCCTCCTGTCCCTGGCACGCACCGGATATCTCTGCGTCCGTCCACTGCTCCTCTGCGTGCCCCCTTGCCCTCTCCTCCTGAGTCCTTTCTTCCTGTGCTTGCCGACCCTGAGTCGGACTCTCTTCGTGCTGCCAGTCCTACTTTCACGCGTCTCCTTGCTACTGTCGTCACTGACCCTTCCTTTGAGTCCACTGCTGCGTCTGCTCTTGTTGCTGAGCTCGTCGACTTTGCTGCTCGCTGTCGTCTAGACTACGGTGCTAGTCTTGTTGCTGAGTCTGCGTCTGTCTGTCCTCCGTCCGTCGGCGGTGAGTGTGCTCTTGGCACGGACGTCCTTGAGGACAGGCAGGAGGAGTTCCAGTGTCTGGCTGCTGCTTCACCTCATCTCGCGTTCGTACTGCTTACCCCTGAGGGAGACCCAGATGCGCTAGACATCCCGACTCCGCGCTCTTACGTGGAGGCCGTAGAGGGTCCCTACTCCTCTCAGTGGCAGGCAGCTATGGATGCAGAGATGGCTTCCTGGAAGTCCACAGGCACCTACGTTGACGCGGTTCCCCCTCCTGGGGCGAACATCGTTAGTGGCATGTGGATCTTCAGGGTGAAGCGGCCGCTGGGCTCTCCGACCTGGGTGAACTGCGCAGCTACCTTGGCTTGCAGATCACCCGGGACAGAGCACGCCGCACCATTACCCTGACTCAGTCACACATGGTGCAGCAGGTCCTTCAGCGCTTCGGCTTCACGTACTCCTCGCCTCAGGCCACTCCTCTGTCTACTCGCCACTCGCTCCCAGCTCTGCCTTCGGATGAGTCCGTAGAGTCGAGTGGCCCATACCCAGAGCTTGTTGGTTGCCTCATGTACCTGATGACCTGCACACGACCTGACCTTGAATACCCTCTTAGCATTCTTGCACGCTATGTTGCTCCTGGGAGACACAAACCAGAGCACATGGCTGCAGCGAAGAGGGTGTTGCGCTACTTGTGCAGTACGTCGGGCATGGGGCTAGTGCTTGGAGGGCGGAGTCCAGTGGTCCTCACTAGGCACACGGACGCTTCTTGGGCAGACGACCAGGCCACGGAGCGGTCGTCACAGGGTTACACCTTCAGCCTTGGTTCCGACTCTGTTTCGTGGCGGGCTACTCGCTCGTCTTCGGTTCTCGGCTCCAGTTGTGAGGCTGAGATCTACGCCGGGGCCATGGCTGCACAGGAGCTTCGCTGGCTCACCTACCTGCTGACTGACCTAGGAGAGCCGCCTCGTTCTCCTCCAGTGCTGTACGTAGACAACAAGGCCATGCTGGCCTTGTGTCGAGAGCAGAGACTGGAGCACAGAACGAAGCACATTGCTCTTCGCTACTTCCTTGCTCGTGAGCTGCAGCAGCGTGGTCAGTTGCGTCTTGCGTACATGGCCTCTGAGGCCAACACTGCTGATATCTTCACCAAGGCACTTGCGCCTTGTGATCATCAGCGCTTCTGTACTCAGCTTGGTCTTGTGCCTGTCTTGCCTCACTTGCTCACCTCTTGACCTTGCTTGTACTGTTACATATATATACACCTGCTCTTGCTTGTCTAGCTTTCTATATATATGTACTCATGCATGTGAACTGGCCTTGTGGCCTTGAACTTGTGCTCGGAATGTGTGGTGACTTTGTGATCCACCCTGAGCTTGCTTTGCTTGACTGGTCTTGTGACCGCTTGTTCTCCCCCACTTTGCCTATGGGGGTGTGTCAGAACATTATAGCTTATGCTTTTGTGTAGGCTGCAGTGGGGTAGCCCATATGGGGTACAACCCAATTAGGGTTAGTACTGTTGGAAGTGAACACTGGAATGGCCCACAGTGGTCTCCCTAAGGGCTAGAGGTGTTGTCCTGGGGGGGTATGGGTGCGCTGACCCACCAACGAAAAGATGCCCTTTTATCCCAGTCGGTTAGCGGGCTGGAATGCTATCTCTGCATGGTGCGGTGAGCGTGGAGGACCGGGTTTCGATTCCTGCTGTCGGCGACTTCCTATGCCCTAGTGGTGGGCCCTCCCAGTGAGGGGAGTGTTGGAAGTGAACACTGGAATGGCCCACAGTGGTCTCCCTAAGGGCTACAGGTGTTGTCCTGGGGGGGTATGGGTGCGCTGACCCACCAACGAAAACATGCCCTTTTATCCCAGTCGGTTAGCGGGCTGGAATGCTATCCCTGCAAGTACTTGTACCCAAGTGTTTCATAGTTCATTCATTCTCGTTCACATTTTCTCAATCAACCCTAAAAAAACATGCGATAATGTGTTTAGGGTTGATGCCTCCTTGACCGGATGCATGCCCGTATTGGGTTTATATTTTTTGCCTCCTTGTCCGTTCAGAAATCCGTCACCCCGTGTGGTCAGGTCTGACGGAGCACGTGTGTGAGGCCCGAAATTGGTTAGAGACAGGTCCGGACCAGGTTCGAAACATCGCGAGACACGAGGCCCCAAGTCGGTTCTATTCCTAGAACTTCGGGGCCCCAATCTGATCATTTCCCAAGTTGGCCGTGTACATCTCCAGAATTTCCACGACTTGCCACGTCAGTGCTTGTCAGAGACTGGGTATGCTGATTTTCCCTCCTTTCACTTTTTTTTTTTTCCGGTTTGGTACCACACCACACCAGGGCTTCCGAGCCTGATGGATCACAACAATCTCGAGCGATTGGCTTCATGCTCGGCCTATCTTTCAGGTTCGTGATCTTGTTTTCTTTGCTTTGAGTAGCGAAATGGATTCAGTTCCTTTTTGAGACAGTTTGGTCTACTCCTGCTTCTGCAGGGTGTCCGAGTTGGTGTCAGATCATCAGGTGCTGCTCCACCTTCTCACCAACGAGTTGGTGATCTGGACGGGGAGGCCCAAGTGTGGATGGACTCGCGGCTGTTATTAGCGAAAATTTTCTCACATTACCATTTCCGGAGTTAGTTTTCTTCATTGTTTGTTGTACGATAGAAAACCTTTTATTTCTGGGTGTTGCTTTTCTGAAGCACGGATTTGGTAAGGCCGGCAGAAAGGATGGATGGTCCGAAGAAAGAGGACGAGCGAGCCGACGCGGCAGACGAGGAGGAGAAGGAGAATGCAACAGAGAAGCTCGAAAATGCAGTTGTAGATGACGGAGAGGAAGCGGTGGAGAATGAAACAGAGAAAGGCGAGGCGGACGAGGCTGACGGAGGCGAGGAACAAACGGAGGATCTGTCAGTCGCACAAGGTGACGACGCGGGAAAAGGAGAGCAGGGAAACGGAGAGAACGGAGAGGATTCAACGGACGGAAGGGGGGAAGAAGCGAGGCCTCTTTTATCGTCTTCGGGAGCGGATGCAGCGACAGCAGCAGCCCCGCAACCAGCCGCGGTGGCGGAGGAGAGCTCGGCAAGCGGCGGGTGGGGCAGTTGGGGAGGCGGGTGGGCGGCGGCGCTGTCGGTGGTGACGGCTATACAGGAGGTGGCGACGGAGGTGACGGGCGAGATATCTCACGCCGTGAGTGTTCGAGCAGAGCCTTTCCTTGTCTCTCGCCTCGTGTCGCTCTTTGGTTCTTGTCTCACGTCGCTCGTCGCCCCTCTCTGTCGTCTCTCGTCGCCCGTCGCCCGTCGCCCGTTCCTCGACTATGACTACGCACGCCGTTCCTCTCCGCCAGTTCCCAATTCCCTACTCTCGCGATCCTTCCGCGCCCCCCTCACCCGTCCAGTAGCTTTGAAACCAGTCCCTGCTGCTTGTTTTTGCAGCTAGCAGAAAGAAGAGAAGAGAAGGCAGAAATCAGGAATCAGTGGGAAGGAAGTGAAAGTAGGAGGCAGAGGTTAAATAGCAGAGAGAATAAAAAAATCAGAGAGCAGCAAGCAGAGTCCAGAGAGCGGAGAGCAGAGAGAGCGGAGAGCAGAGGGCAAACAGCAACGCTCGGCAACAGCAGCGGATACTCCTAGCGGTTCCCAAAAGCCGTTTCGAGCTAACCTAAATCCGTCGTTCCCCCTGATCCCGCACCACCAGGCGACTGTTGCGGCGAAGGAAATCATCGAGACCTTTGAAGACGTGGAGGGACAGGTGGCTGCGGAGGGGGGCGGGGGAGGGGAGGGGAAGGAGGTGGGGAAAGGGGAGGGGGAGGGCGGCGCAGGGGCGCAGGCGGAGGAGAAGACAGGTCGAGAGGTGCCAGTGGACGGAGCGGCGCAGCATGCGGCAGCAGTGGGAACGGCAGGCAAAGGCGAAAGCAAAGGGGACGAAGGGCAAGGGCGTGGTGAAAGTGCTGGTGGTGATGATGCTACGGCTGCTGCTGGCGAGGCTGGTGGTGGGCAGGCGGAGAGTGCGGAGGGGGCAGGTGCAGAGGCGGTGGTGAGACAGGCTCCTGCGGTGGTGAAGGCGGAGATCGGGGATGGTGGGGGGAGCGCGGGGCGGGAGAAGGGGGATGGCGCAGGTGGCGGCGGAGCAGAGGCGGGGAGGGACGACGTGGATGATGGCGCAGAGATAGTGGACCCGGTAGGGCATGCGGGCACAGTCATGCATGTGCCTTTGGCATGCATGTGCCTTTGGCATGCATGTGCCTTTGGCATGCATGTGCCTTTGGCATGCATGTGCCTTTGGCATGCATGTGCCTTTGGCATGCATGTGCCTTTGGCATGCATGTGCTTCTGGAATGCATGTGGGGTGTGCGTTTGAAGTGACATGAGCACAATCCTCTCATCTCCTATGCTTGACTCATGTCATTGTATCTCCGTGTGCTGCATGTGTGTGCTGCATGTGTGTGCTGCATGTGTGTGCACGTGTGCTGCACCGACTGTGCACGTGTGTGCATGCATGTGTGCGGGCATGTGTGGTGGCATGGCAGGACTTCAAGGCGTTCGATGAGTCCATGGAGAACCTCACGTCAGGCGCACTGCACGTGCTGGGCTCCGCGTGGATGGGCGGCCTCTCTCTCGTGCACCAGTATGTTACCACCGGCACCACCAGCACCACCACCAGCACCACCACCAGCACCAGCACCACCACCAGCACCAGCACCAGCACCAGCACCAGCACCCATTCTCCCATGCTCTGCCCCCACGCCCGTTGCACGAACCACCAACCTCCCCTCACCCCCTTCCCTCCGTCCTGAAACACCACTAAAGCACAGGCCAAGTTCCCGTCACACCCTTTTCTCACCCCCACCCCGCCTCCACCTGCCCGTGCTTCCCAGGCTAGAGCAGTCCACTGGCGCTGTGGTGCAGACGATACAGCAGCAGGCCGCTGCCACCGCCGCCATCACCACCACCACGAGCAGCGGAAGCGACGGCGCGGCGGAAGCTCATGCGGCGGGAATCGGCTCAGTGTCCATTCTTGAAGTAGGCCTTCTCGTCTCCCCTCCTCGTTGTCGGTAGGGGGGGAGTAGTGGGGGGGTGTGAGAACGACGCGTAGCAGAGCAGAGTGATTCGTGAGGCGGTTTGAGAAAAGATTAGCGTCCGTTCTTGAAGTAGGCCTTTTCATCTCCCCTCCTCGTGGCCAGGAGGGAGTGAGGGAGGGCGGTGGTTGCGAGCAAGGCACATAGCAGAGGGTTCTCTTTGCGGCATCTAAAGCGATCTTAGCTTCTGCTCTTGACTACGCCTCTCGATCTCTCCTCGTGTTCTGTGCGGAGGGACTGGGGATGTGAGCACGAAGCGTAACAGAGCATAGTGATTTGTGAGACGTTTCACGGAAAGATCAGCACCCCCTCCTCCTGATCGCTTGCTGTCTTGCTCAGGCGAGCAGGAGGAGGGGTTGCTGTGAGGGGGATGTGAGCACGGAGGAGGGAATGATGTGAGGGGGCGAGGGCGGTGCATCGCGGAGGGCAGGTGCAGGGGCGAGAGGGGAGCTGGGATGCGCGGAGTGGCAGGACGGGGGGCTATTTGGGACATGGACGCAGCGATTCCTGGAGACAATCAACACGCTTATCCTTCCCCATGTTATCCCATCCCTTCCACCATGCTCCCATCCTCCTCGCCATCCTCCCGATCCCCCCCACGTCCCTCCCCCCACGTCCCTCCCCCCACGTCCCTCCCCCCCACGTCCCTCCCCCCCACGTCCCTCCCCCCACGTCCCTCCCCCCACGTCCCTCCCCCCACGTCCCTCCCCCCACGTCCCTCCCCCCACGTCCCTCCCCCCCACGTCCCTCCCCCCACGTCCCTCCCCCCACGTCCCTCCCCCCCACGTCCCTCCCCCCCACGTCCCTCCCCCCACGTCCCTCCCCCCCACGTCCCTCCCCCTCATGCCCCTCCCCTCTACGTCCCTTCCGCCAACGTCCCTCCCCCTCACGCCCACTATCGTTGTGCACCCTCTTTCCCACAATCCCCCCCCCTCCCCCCAATGGTCAGAGCGGCATGGGCATGGCGGAGCAGGGCATGCGCATGCTGGAGGCCCTGGGGAAGAACACCATCGACATCATTGTTGCTGAGACCGGCATTGAGCTTGAACAGGATGAGGGGGAGGGCGACGGGGAGAGAGGCGCGGATGGAGGGGGGTTAGGGGGTGGTGGAGGTGGGGTGGGGGGAGTGGGGAGTGAGCGAGGGTCGGGAGTGGGAGCGGCGGTGGGAGGAGGAGGGGGAGGAGGTGGGGGGATTGGAGGGGGGATTGCGGGGATCTTGGGGGGGATTGCGGCGGGGATAGGAGGGGGTGATGGGGGGTTGGGAGGAGGGGGGGTGGGAGGGTGGGGAAGGGAGGAGGTAGAGGAGGAGAAGGGAGAGGAGGATGAGGAGGAGACGTCGTTTGACCATTGCTTCTATATCTACGGTGGCCCTGAGCACCTGGAGGTGCGTGGCGTGTGTGATGTGATGCATTATGGATGGGTGGCTGGCACTCAATGCATTATGGATGGGTGGCTGGCACTCAATGCATTATGGATGGGTGGCTGGCACTCAATGCATTATGGATGGGTGGCTGGCACTCAATGCATTATGGATGGGTGGCTGGCACTCAATGCATTATGGATGGGTGGCTGGCACTCAATGCATTACGGATGGGTGGCACTCAATGCATTACGGATGGGTGGCACTCAATGCATTATGGATGGGTGGCTGGCACTCAATGCATTATGGATGGGTGGCACTCAATGCATTATGGATGGGTGGCACTCAATGCATTATGGATGGGTGGCACTCAATGCATTATGGATGGGTGGCACTCAATGCATTATGGATGGGTGGCTGGCACTCAATGCATTACGGATGGGTGGCACTCAATGCATTACGGATGGGTGGCACTCAATGCATTATGGATGGGTGGCTGGCACTCAATGCATTACGGATGGGTGGCACTCAATGCATTACGGATGGGTGACACTCAATGCATTATGGATGGGTGGCTGGCACTCAATGCATTATGGATGGGTGGCACTCAATGCATTATGGATGGGTGGCACTCAATGCATTATGGATGGGTGGCACTCAATGCATTATGGATGGGCGGCACTCAATGCATTATGGATGGGCGGCACTCAATGCATTATGGATGGGTGGCACTCAATGCATTATGGATGGGCGGCACTCAATGCATTATGGATGGGTGGCACTCAATGCATTATGGATGGGCGGCACTCAATGCATTATGGATGGGTGGCACTCAATGCATTATGGATGGGCGGCACTCAATGCATTATGGATGGGTGGTACTCAATGCATTATGGATGGGTGGCACTCAATGCATTATGGATAGGTGGCACTCAATGCATTATGGATGGGTGGCACTCAATGCATTATGGATGGGTGGCACTCAATGCATTATGGATGGGTGGCACTCAATGCATTATGGATGGGCGGCACTCAATGCATTATGGATGGGCGGCACTCAATGCATTATGGATGGGTGGCACTCAATGCATTATGGATGGGTGGCACTCAATGCATTATGGATGGGTGGCACTCAATGCATTATGGATGGGTGGCACTCAATGCATTATGGATGGGTGGCACTCAATGCATTATGGATGGGCGGCACTCAATGCATTATGGATGGGCGGCACTCAATGCATTATGGATGGGCGGCACTCAATGCATTATGGATGGGCGGAACTCAATGCATTATGGATGGGTTGCACTCAATGCATTATGGATGGGTGGCACTCAATGCATTATGGATGGGCGGCACTCAATGCATTATGGTTGGGGGGCACTCAATGCATTATGGATGGGTGGCACTCAATGCATTATGGATGGGCGGCACTCAATGCATTATGGATGGGTGGCACTCAATGCATTATGGATGAGCGGCACTCAATGCATTATGGATGGGTGGCACTCAATGCATTATGGATGGGCGGCACTCAATGCATTATGGATGGGTGGCACTCAATGCATTATGGATGGGTGGCACTCAATGCATTATGGATGGGCGGCACTCAATGCATTATGGATGGGTGGCACTCAATGCATTATGGATGGGCGGCACTCAATGCATTATGGATGGGTGGCACTCAATGCATTATGGATGGGTGGCACTCAATGCATTATGGATGGGTGGCACTCAATGCTTTATGGATGGGTGGCACTCAATGCATTATGGATGGGTGGCACTCAATGCATTATGGATGGGTGGCACTCAATGCATTATGGATGGGTGGCACTCAATGCATTATGGATGGGCGGCACTCAATGCATTATGGATGGGTGGCACTCAATGCATTATGGATGGGTGGCACTCAATGCATTATGGATGGGTGGCACTCAATGCATTATGGATGGGTGGCACTCAATGCATTATGGATGGGCGGCACTCAATGCATTATGGATGGGCGGCACTCAATGCATTATGGATGGGTGGCACTCAATGCATTATGGATGTGTGGCACTCAATGCATTATGGATGGGTGGCACTCAATGCATTATGGATGGGTGGCACTCAATGCATTATGGATGGGTGGCACTCAATGCATTATGGATGGGTGGCACTCAATGCATTATGGATGGGCGGCACTCAATGCATTATGGATGGGTGGCACTCAATGCATTATGGATGGGTGGCACTCAATGCATTATGGATGGGCGGCACTCAATGCAGTATGGATGGGCGGCACTCAATGCATTATGGATGGGTGGCACTCAATGCATTATGGATGGGTGGCACTCAATGCATTATGGATGGGTGGCACTCAATGCATTATGGATGGGCGGCACTCAATGCATTATGGATGGGCGGCACTCAATGCATTATGGATGGGCGGCACTCAATGCATTATGGATGGGTGGCACTCAACGCATTATGGATGGGTGGCACTCAATGCATTATGGATGGGCGGCACTCAATGCATTATGGATGGGCGGCACTCAATGCATTATGGATTGGCGGCACTCAATGCATTATGGATGGGCGGCACTCAATGCATTATGGATGGGCGGCACTCAATGCATTATGGATGGGTGGCACTCAATGCATTATGGATGGGCGGCACTCAATGCATTATGGATGGGTGGCACTCAATGCATTATGGATGGGTGGCACTCAATGCATTATGGATGGGTGGCACTCAATGCATTATGGATGGGCGGCACTCAATGCATTATGGATGGGCGGCACTCAATGCATTATGGATGGGCGGCATTCAATGCATTATGGATGGGCGGCACTCAATGCATTATGGATGGGTGGCACTCAATGCATTATGGATGGGCGGCACTCAATGCATTATGGATGGGTGGCACTCAATGCATTATGGATGGGTGGCACTCAATGCATTATGGATGGGCGGCACTCAATGCATTGTGGATGGGCGGCACTCAATGCATTATGGATGGGTGGCACTCAATGCATTATGGATGGGTGGCACTCAATGCATTATGGATGGGTGGCACTCAATGCATTATGGATGGGTGGCACTCAATGCATTATGGATGGGTAGCACTCAATGCATTATGGATGGGTGGCACTCAATGCATGATGGATGGGTGGCACTCAATGCATTATGGATGGGTGGCACTCAATGCATTATGGATGGGTGGCACTCAATGCATTATGGATGGGTGGCACTCAATGCATTATGGATGGGTGGCACTCAATGCATTATGGATGGGTGGCACTCAATGCATTATGGATGGGTGGCACTCAATGCATTATGGATGGGTGGCACTCAATGCATTATGGATGGGTGGCACTCAATGCATTATGGATGGGTGGCACTCAATGCATTATGGATGGGCGGCACTCAATGCATTATGGATGGGTGGCACTCAATGCATTATGGATGGGTGGCACTCAATGCATTATGGATGGGTGGCACTCAATGCATTATGGATGGGTGGCACTCAATGCATTATGGATGGGTGGCACTCAATGCATTATGGATGGGTGGCACTCAATGCATTATGGATGGGCGGCACTCAATGCATTGTGGATGGGCGGCACTCAATGCATTATGGATGGGTGGCACTCAATGCATTATGGATGGGCGGCACTCAATGCATTATGGATGGGCGGCACTCAATGCATTATGGATGGGTGGCACTCAATGCATTATGGATGAGCGGCACTCAATGCATTATGGATGGGTGGCACTCAATGCATTATGGATGGGTGGCACTCAATGCATTATGGATGGGTGGCACTCAATGCATTATGGATGGGTGGCACTCAATGCATTATGGATGGGCGGCACTCAATGCATTATGGATGGGTGGCACTCAATGCATTATGGATGGGCGGCACTCAATGCATTATGGATGGGTGGCACTCAATGCATTATGGATGGGTGGCACTCAATGCATTATGGATGGGTGGCACTCAATGCATTATGGATGGGTGGCACTCAATGCATTATGGATGGGTGGCACTCAATGCATTATGGATGGGTGGCACTCAATGCATTATGGATGGGTGGCACTCAATGCATTATGGATGGGCGGCACTCAATGCATTATGGATGGGTGGCACTCAATGCATTATGGATGGGTGGCACTCAATGCATTATGGATGGGTGGCACTCAATGCATTATGGATGGGTGGCACTCAATGCATTATGGATGGGCGGCACTCAATGCATTATGGATGGGTGGCACTCAATGCATTATGGATGGGTGGCACTCAATGCATTATGGATGTGTGGCACTCAATGCATTATGGATGGGTGGCACTCAATGCATTATGGATGGGTGGCACTCAATGCATTATGGATGGGTGGCACTCAATGCATTATGGATGGGCGGCACTCAATGCATTATGGATGGGCGGCACTCAATGCATTATGGATGGGCGGCACTCAATGCATTATGGATGGGTGGCACTCAATGCATTATGGATGGGCGGCACTCAATGCATTATGGATGGGCGGCACTCAATGCATTATGGATGGGCGGCACTCAATGCATTATGGATGGGCGGCACTCAATGCATTATGGATGGGTGGCACTCAATGCATTATGGATGGGCGGCACTCAATGCATTATGGATGGGTGGCACTCAATGCATTAT